CTAATACATAAAATAGTTAAGGTGAGTTACTGTAATTGTCTTCGTTCGCGGCAGCATATTAGAGATTTTTAATTAATGTTAATTTATTTGGAAGATTTAGGAGTTTTTACGCTTTGTTAAAATGTTAATAAATAATGCGATTTCTAGTTAAACTGGTAGATTACTGATGAAATGCGTTGATATCAAAATTAATCCGGCAGAATACCGGTGTTAATATACCAGATTACTGTAGAGATGGCCACCGAAGACGTCTAGTTATCTCTATATTTAAAAAGCAACATAATCTTGTAGATTACTGATCGGTCGCCTCTATTGATTGTGACGACATAATCTTATAGATTATCAGTGGTAATCTAGCAAATTGATTACTCAAAGAGTCTAGAGCTGACGACCAACAGGTGCAATTTATTCAGAGCACATTTGGTTGACCTTTGATAAGTACTCTAGAGTAATAGAATTCTAACTCCTCCCCTTAGGATGTCAGAATTCTTAACACATCTCATTACAGTGGTATTCCTTAAGATTCTCTTCTTAAAATTTGAGCATTGTTGTTCACCTACTCCTCTTAAGCATGGGCCCTTCGGACATAGCACACTCGTGTCATGTCTTTTATCGGAAATTTTTTAAAAAATTTATTACTTAATATTAGCTTATATATTTCTACTTTAAGACTAGAACAAATGAACAATTTAAGAAGTGGAGTTTTTTAAAAGTCATATTTTTAATAAGTCAGGTACATATCCTATAATTTTCCCTTAAATACCAAGTCAAGCTCAAGTGAGCCCCTCACTATTTTTCTTACGTAACATTTGATTTGATGGTCAAAATTATAATGTAAATATAGATAGGATATAATTAAATTAGAATAGGAATAGGAATTTTGTTTTTCAATTCCAATGTTTGGTTCAAAATTGTGATTTTCGAGAGCAGTTTACGGTATTAGGAAGGATAATGAGAATGTTAATTTAATGCAAATATTAAGATAGGGCGAGTTAAATATATAACTTAATCTTATTACCACATGTTGAAATATAGCAAAAAACTCAGAATATTTTACAAATAGTAAAAAATTAAAATTATTATAATAACTATTACATGATTTTGTAACATAAAACGTAAAAATCTTACAATACTTACTGTGTATTTTATTATTCCAAAAATATATAAAAAAGTTACTAGATTTTAATTACACTCTTATAAACATGCCATGTTGTGTAAGTTTTATATTAAAAGATATTGCAAGATATAATTAATATTGGAATTTTGGTTGATATTAGTTTGGAATGAGAAAAGTATTCCAGTTGTCCAATTTATGTTGCTATATGCATGCATTTTATTTATTATTTATTTATTTTTGTAAAATAACCATTCCATAGGAATGGCTATGCCTAAATTTTTTTTCCTCCTCAACCAAACACAGAAATAACTAATCTTTAGGAATAATCATTTACTTTAATGGTCATTGTATCAAACCAAATATAACTTAATATCCGTTTTGTTCATGGATTAAAACCATGTGATTAGAACTATTTTCAATTTACGTGTATTTTTTGTGAGAAAAAATACTGTAGCGAACCACAAATCATGATTCGAATCAGGGAACGAATCACTCTACCAAACATACTATTGTTATTAATATTTTTAGGATCGCTCTCCAGTTCAACAAGTTTTTGTCGTTTCTGATCCAGCATTCTTTATTGACCATTGGATGAAAAACGACGGGATTTTCTGACACACAATAGTGCGTTTTAATGAAAAAAAAAATGTTGAATAAAGGAACAAGGGTAGAAGAAAGAAATGACTTGTAGTTTTAACAAATCTTCTCTTAAAAATCATCTTTCTTTCTCAAAACTCATCCCTTTCTTCCCCTTGGAGCAAAAAATCTATGTTCCTGTTTCTAAAACACACTCCCACGCAGCTTTACCTTTCCACCTTGCCCTAACTTTGAGGGAAAATCATATGTAACTTCCGCAATCTGAGTGTAAGAAAGTAATAAAACTTCAAGAAGAATCGTCTATTGCATTGTGTTAATCTAAATAAGACAATTTCAGCAAAAAATTAGGTATGAATCTCTCAATTTCTCGCTTAACCTCTGTGTTGATTTTCATTAAATATTTAAAAGTAGATATTGCGTTAGATAATGTCATGAGTAAACACATACGATTGATTCTGATTGTTGTGTGGGAAAATGTGGATGACGCGTGGAAGAACAACAGTGTGACATGTGGCCTTGCTTTTCCTCAAAAGGTAACAACCCTCGACGCTGGGGACTCCCTTTCCTTTTACTGCAAAGGAAGCCCAACTTAGGATGCCAACTCCTCATGACGACGACAGGTCGTACTGTCGACCTTACGACGGAAATCCTTCGGGAGAAAATCAATTGCCAAGAAAGACAACTAGGTTGAGCAAACAAAGACGGCGAGAGGAATGTCCCAAAATGGGAAGCCTGACATCGCAAGTTGTGTGCAGAAATGGGGGATGTCTGTAGTGCAGGCATTAATTGCAAACCCTTAAACCGCCCTACGGGGGACAAAAAAGGGTTATAGGTACGCACAGAGCCGTAATAGGAGACTAATTGACTGAGTGAACAGTTCGCAAAGTGATTAGTGGGCTACGGTCTGGGCCTAGAAAGGCAGACCACTTGAGTGCTTCTGCCTACAAAGGAGACCCACCCAATGAAGGAAGCTCGGCTATAAAAGGGGCAAAGCCCCATACAGTAAAGAGGTTCGCTTCATGAGAGAGAAAAAATAAGAGAACAACAGTTGATGTAAATTGTAACAATCTCAAAAAGAATATAAAACTACAGTGGATGTAGCTGTTCATTAACAGAGTGAACCATTATAAATTTCGTGTGTTCTTCTAATTCAAGCATTCTTTCTCATATTGCTCACCATTCTAAAAATACAACAAACACTTCATTGCATAAATTGAGTATACAGTCAATATCAAGCCGGTAATCCAACGGGATACCTAGAGGTGACCCAGCCTATTTCTGTTGACGAGATTTCACTGTCAACAATTGGCGACTCCGCTGGGGACCGAACCCAGAATCTCTAGTTCATACGTTTGACCCCCAACAACAACATAGTCAGCAAGCATGCCTCCAAGAAGAAAAATTGAGGCCATCAACCAAGGCAGCCAAATGGACAAAACCGCCACACATCTGGTGAATGACGGGATGGAGGAAGGTCTACCTCCGGTCAGAAATGAAGTCCCGCCACCAAACGTGCCGCAGCCGGACCCTGTGCAGATGCAGGCCCAAATAACCACTCTAATCGACCTGGTACGTGGACTAATGGCCGTAGTCGAGCGCTTGGACGGAAGGAACTCTATGCCACCTCCAGAAGACGCCCCGAGGCCGCTCGGAGCTGCCATGGCTGAAAACCACAACCCCGGTGACCACCAACATGTCCTAGAAGGAATCGGGGACAGTGAAAATCATAGAGGCCATCCTAGGCCTCGACCTTCCTAATCCTCCGGCAGCCGTCGGGCTCCGGGCTCCCGTGGACCGGATAGCGAGAGGCCTGGGGAACCCCGAGGTACTACCCTAGAACCCAGGAGGAAACTCACCGGGAGACTCAGGGTCCGTACAGGTGGGCGGGCAAGCAAGGGGCGGACCCAACGTCCAAAGGGTAGAGGCGTCGAGAGTAGCTGGCTCAGCCATCTCGGCAGAAGAAGCGCGCGCCATTATAGGACGTATGGCTAGCCTAGAGCAAAAACTCACGGGCGATGTCGCCGGCCTAAAAAAAAATATAGGGCAAGTGGCCGAGGTGGTAAATGTCGACATCACGCCTAGCCGCACACACGACCATCCATTTACCGCAGAAATAATGGCGCCACCTCTCCCCGATAAATACAAGTCACCGTCGATCCCACCATATGATGGTCTAGGGGATCCCGAGTCCCGACGATCACTTGGAGATGTACACATGACACATGCTCTTACATGGGTATGCCGAGGAGATTATGTGCCGAGCCTTCCAGAACCATTTAACGGACTCTGCCCGAAGATGGTTTCGGACGCTGAAGCCAAACTCTATCTCAAGCTGGGATGAGTTGAAGGAAGCGTTTTCCCTCCAGTTCATAGGGGTTAAAAAATATATCCCCCTAAAGCAGAATCTGACGACGATATACCAGAAGCCAAACGAGTTGTTAAAAGAGTGGCTTGCAAGATATGGGGAAGCTGTCGCCCACGATGGACATAACTGACCGGGAGGCCTTGATGGGGGCATTGTCTAGCATGAAGAAAATTACCCCTTTCAAGAGAGAGCTTAACCAAAAGCCCCCATCCAGCTATAAGGAATTCCTTACATGAGCGTAAGGCTACATAAACGCCGAGGAAGCGGATGCGAACGACCCTGAGCACAGGTCCAATAAAAATAAGGGGACCGAACAAGGGTCGACGCCAACAAAGCAGAATGGAAAGAAGCGACGAGGTGGAGGAAGCAGGGACAAGCAGCCCACTTCGACATCGAACACTCCAGAAGCCAAGAAGCCGAGGCAAGAGGAGAACCGTAAGCCTCAACCGTTTCAAAGGTACGATTCCTACCATGAATTAACAGTAGGAGCCGAGGAAGTGTTCAATCAGGTCGGCCGCAGGAATTTATTGCGCCGCCCAGAGCCAATCAGGTCAGACCCCAGCCGAAGAAACCAGAAAAAATACTGCAGGTTCCACGGCGAGGTCGGCCACCACGCCAACGATTGCATCGATCTTAAAGATGAGATCGAGAGAGTAATCCGCGAGGGGAGGCTGCAGGAGTTGAAAGCCGAGCGGAGACCTAGAAACGATGGTCACGGGGCCAGAATGACGGTCGACGCCAAGAGGAGAACCAGCGCCCAGAGGACTGAGAACCCGTCGGCCTCATACGAACTGTCCTCAGCGGCCCCTATGTAGGAGGAGACTCAAGGAGATCTCAGAAGGACTACGCCTACGAGGCCAGAGGGGTTTACCAGGAAAGGTTCTGGAGTGTCTCCACTGCAAAAACACCAACGCCGACGCTATGGCAAAGCTAGCATCTTCAAAAGACTCCGACGCACTAAGGGTCGTTCCTATTAAAGAACTGGAGCAGTCAACCATTGAGAAAATAATTGAGACATTAATCATCCAAACAGGCGAAAGTTGGATGACGCCGCTCATCCAATACCTGATGGATGCGAAACTACCAAATAATAAATACGAGGCCAGACGGATCAGGTATAGAGCTGCCAGATACTTATTGTACGACGGTTTGCTTTACCGACGAGGCTATTCAACACCTTTACAACGGTGCCTGGATAATAACAAAGCCCAGAAGGTCTTCCAAGAAATCCATGAAGGAGTCTGCGGTAATCATACAGGGGGGCAGTCTTTAGCTCTTAAGATTTTGAGGCAAGGGTACTATTGGCCCACGCTTAAGAAGGACGCATACCAATACGCTCGACGTTGCAATAAGTGCCAAAGATATGCCACAATTCCTAGAGCACCCCCAGAAAACCTAGCTCCATTCTCAGTTCATGGCCCTTCGCCAAATGGGGGGTCGACTTAATTGGGCCATTACACCTTGCACCCGGAGGCTTTAAGTTTGCCATCATCGCAGTCGACTACTATACAAAGTGGGTAGAGACAAAGGCTCTGACTATAACCACAGAAGCAGCTTGCACCAATTTCATGTGGAACAACAGTGTGTGCAGGTTCGGGGTCCCCCACTCGATAGTGTCCGACAATGGGAAACAGTTCGATGATGCCTCAACACGAAGATTCTACGACAGCTTGGGCATTCGAAAGGACTTCTCGGCGCCGATACATCCACAATCTAATGGGCAAGTCAAAGCAGTCAATAAAATATTAAAGTATACCCTAAAGAAGAAGCTCGACGAACTAAAGGGAAAATGGGCCGAGGAACTTCCCAAGGTCTTGTGGGCATACAGAACGACGAGCTGAAATACCACGAGCGAAACGCCCTTCTCCATGGCGTATGGCGTCGAGGCAGTACTGCCTGTAGAAATTGAGACGCCAACTCTAAGAACTGTAGTCTACAACGACGACGGTAATACATAAGGCATGAATGGAGAACTTGACTTGTTAGAAGAAAAGAGACTCGACTTCCAACTATGTCTCACCGCCTATCAGCAAAGAGCAGCACGATATTACAACAAGAGAGTTCGACAAAGGAGGTTCGTCTCGGGAGACCTAGTATTAAAAAGGGTGACGCAGAGTACAAAACCCAAAAATACGGGTCCTCTAGGCCTAACTTGGGAAGGGCCCTACCGCATAAGAGAAGTGTTGCGTCCTGGCACCTACATTTGGGAAAACCTTGCCGGCAAGAGAATTCAACACCTATGGAATGTAGAACAGCTAAGGCTGTACTACCAATAGTGTATGTAATTCTTATGCATCCCAATTATATATTTTTTACAATTTAAATAAATTGATGTGTTTATAGAAAGAAAGGAATCCACTCCTTAATAACATGTATGCTTTAAAAATTAAGGTATATTAAACAGACATGGGGGGCAGAGGTCTACGGATCGCTAAAAAATGACATAACGACCCCAAAGGGCAAAATTAGAGACTCCTCCAAAAAGGAAGGAGAGGTGAACACTTAACAAAATTTTAAGGGATTTTCTAAGACGACGACCCCAAGGGGCAAAGCTAATGCCGACTCTTCCAAGGAAGAGAGGCAAGGAAAAACTTAGAAAATTTTATGAAATTTTCTAAGGCGACGACCCCAAGGGGCAAAAGCTAACGCCGACTCTTCCAAGGAGGGGAGGCGAGGAAAACCTTAGAAAATTTTACAAAATTTTCTAAGGCGACTACCCAAAGGGGCAAGGAAAGCAATAAAGACAATTATATAAAAATTCCAAATATTATATAAAGAATGTCACACATTACACAAAAATATAGAAAAAAAGGAGAAATCCTAAGCATCGCCGCCAACCGCCGAGTCATCACCGTCAGGCGGAGAAAAAGTGCCGTCACCAGCAGGAGGAGGAGGAATATAAAGAAAGCCTAGATCCCACTTGGGATGCTCTTGCTTAATTAGATCAACAATTTGTTAACCAGTAGAGTGGAAGTCTTGGTGCGGATGTCGATAAGCTCCGGAGAAGCCTTAAACTCCTTAATAATCTCCGCACGCCTGGCATCAAGCATCGCTGAGGCCTCGGCTTCAGCCTGCCTCTTCCCCTCAACTGTTCCTTCGGTAAAGCACTTCTTCACAGCCGTTGTTGCTTCAACTGATTTCTTTTCAGAAGCCTCTGCCCGCCTCGTAAGATCTTCGACCGCAGCCCTCAGACTGGCCACCTCATTTTCGAGACTCCGTAGCTTGGTTAGTTCTCCTTCCAGACTCTCCAGCTTGGCCACAACTACGTCCCTCTCCTCTATGGTAGACATATGCTTTTTATTGGCAGCATCAAGAAGAGAGTTAAGCTTGGCCTCCACGTTGTCCATCTCCTTGCTAAGTTCCTCAACCTTGACTGGATCAATGAGATTGAGAATGGCAAGGACTAGGCCCTAAGAAAGTTGGGAGTCAGAGTAAAGGTACGTGGAACGAAGCTTTTAAAAAAAAGAAGAGAAAAACAAGAGAGGAAAGCACGGTTGGAACTTACATGAATCTGGAAGGAAATCTGCTTGCGCTGACGATCCACCAGAGAGGACTGAGCGGCGGAGATCCAATGCGGTTCAAGGAATGATTCGTATAAAGCCTAGAAGACGAGGGAAAAATGAGGAGGAAGCTTCAACATAGCCCCAATCTCGGCGTCAGAAATATCCGAGACTTGGAAATTGGAGTCCATGATTTTTGCACCCGGCATAATCATGCGTTCCCTCGGCGCCGGAGGCATACCAGCAACGTCAGGGATCGGGACAGCCGGCGTCCACATCCCAGTCTCCGGTGCCTTCTCTTTTCACCTTCTTTTAAGCGGCGGAGCTTCCGCCCCCGACCCCAAAGAAACTTCCGCGGTCTTCTTCCTCTTCGACGCCGAAGAAGAGTTTCCCTCTGGATTGAGATGGCGGGACAGGCTGAGACTGCTGGTTGCCCGGAAGCTGAATCCTCAAAGAGGCCATTTCTGAGCAAACGACCAGGCAACATGTAGTCAGTAGGCCAAAAATAAAAAGAGAAGGCAAGCACGTCGAGCCAAGTCTAGGGGCTTACCTTCGTCGCTTAAGTGGAAATATTCCCTGACGGCGAGAGGATTAGAGGGATAAGGAAGGTCGAGGATCAACCCTGCCCCTCTGAAGTTGAATTCGATTAGTAGGGTATCAATATGGCGAGCCTTTTCCGAGTATGAAAAAGCTGTTTCAACCCTCGCTAACCTCTGTCCAGGAAGCTTCAGCCGATCATAGTTAACTGAAGGATAAAAAAGCTATTAGCACCTTCCTAATGAAGTTTGCACCTTCCTACGGCGGGGCAAACGCTCTTCAGGGTGGAAATTAAAAGGCCCCCGAATCATGAAAAACATGGATTTCCACCCATGTGACAACGAGGGGATACCCCGTATCAGCGTTCCAAGCCTAGGCTAGGATCGCCCATGACCATTCAAAAAGTACCATCCGTCGCATTTGGCGACATGGCACAATCTATACATAAACAAAAATTCATCCAGCGGCAGATCCATGTCAAACCGCTAGCTCCAGAGGACCCTGGCGCCGGCAAAACAGTTGCAAAAATTCAGCGCCAACTGGGCAGGAGAGATGCCATAATGATGGCAATAGTCTTTAACGAAGGGGTGAACTGGCAGAGTCATCCCCACCGTAACAGCCCGAGTATATACAGGGAGGTACCCGGTGGGAGGCATGCTAGTCCTAAAATGTATGTCTGGGAGGAGGTACTCGAACCACCTCCCATCGATACAACCCTCCTTAATAGCCCGAATGATATCTTTATTTCAGACCCTCGATGCCATGACATCAGCCGTAAAAAATGGCCTGTCTGGGTCGCCGCTCATAGCAGCCAGGGGGACATCGACTGTAGAAGCAGCGAACCCACTTACGCTGCCTCCCATAAATGGAATTTTATTTGCTTCTTCCTCTAGCATACGGTCGACGCTGTCGAACTCGTCACCAAAACCTTCGCTAGGTCCACCTATGTATGCCTCTAATTCGCTCAGTATTGAGTCACTATCTGATGAAGAAGATGACCAGGAGATCTCCACTATAGGAGGAGAATCTGGTCGCTCAGTGGACGGGTCCTCTCGACGAGGGTTTGAGGCCATTTTTTCTAATGGTGAAAAACACAAAGGAGCCAAGTTAAAATCCTAAGTTGAGAGGAAGAGGCAAGCAACGACTACTCAAAAACCTAGCACCTCAGACATAACGTTGACCATTTATGTAAAAATGGTAATGGCAAGTATTCATGGTAACCAAGGTTCATCAGAACCCAGGGGCCAGAAGCATACAGTTAACCAAAAAATCAGAAAAAGAACTATCCTACGCGGGTAAATAAAGCAGAGAGTAAGTCTCTATCCACCACATCAACACATGCATATGATTCAATGAGAAAGCCCGTAAAAACAATACAAAACGGGTGATGGTGAGGCTTACCGGTAAATCAGATTCTGGGCAAAGTCTGGAACTGAGATGGCTTCGCAACGTACCGAGCAGGGCAAAGGAATGCATATTGGAATTTATAGGGAAGAATTCTGGCAGAGTAACAACAGTTTAAAAAGAGTTTGGAAAAGTGGCCTTGGTTCGAAGGGTATTTAAGGGGAAGCAAGCCCTCGACCCCTGGCCGTTGGATGAAGTTCATGAAATCCAACGGCAGGGGCATCTCGCCCAGATCTGACGACAGCAGACAAAGACGGGAAAATGAAGGGGCGTGATCCAAAGGCTCACATTCGCCCTTTCGAAATGAGGCCTCACGTCTGCATGGGGAAGTGACCGACGCGACGATTGCGTTCCTCAAGGAAATACAAAGCATCCAGACCATCATTGCGGACGAAGGCTCAGGGTAAGGTTCCCAAACCCGAAGCACGAAATGACGACCGAACCTAAGCTCGAGGCTGTCTGAAAGAAACCCTCGACCTGGGGGGCAACTGTTGTGTGGGAAAATGTGGATGACGCGTGGAAGAATAACAGTGTGACACGTGGCCTTACTTTTCCTCAAAAGGCAACAACCCTCGACGCTGGCGACTCCCTTTCCTTTTGCTGCAAAAGAAGCCCAACTTAGGACGCCGACTCCTCATGATGACGACAGGTTGTACCGTCGACCTTACGACGGAAATCCTTCAGGAGAAAATCAATTGCCAAGAAAGACAACTAGGCTGAGCAAACAGAGATGGCGAGAGGAATGCCCCAAAAGGAGAAAGCATGATATCGCAAGTTGCGTGTAAAAATGGGGGATGTCTACAGTGCAGGCATTAATTGCAAACCCTTAAACCGCCATACGGGGGACAGAAAAGGGTTACAGGTACGTACAGAGCCGTAATAGGAGACTAATTGGCTGAGTGAACAGTTCGCAAAGTGATTAGTGGGCTACGGTCTGGGCCTAGAAAGACAGACCACTTGAGTGCTTCTGCCTACAAAGGAGACCCACCCAATGAAGGAAGCTCGGCTATAAAAGGGGCAAAGCCCCATACAAGAAAGAGGTTCGCTTACTGAGAGAGAAAAAACAAGAGAACAAGAGTTGATGTAAATTGTAATAATCTCAAAAGGAATATAAAACTACAGTGGATGTTGCTCTTCATTAACAGAGTGAACCACTATAAATTTCGTGTGTTCTTCTACTTCAAGCATTCTTTCTCATATTGCTCACCATTCTAAAAATACAACAAACACTTCATTGCATAAATTGAGTATACAGTCAATATCAAGTCGGTAATCCAACGAGATACCTAAAGATGACCCGGCCTATTTCTGTTGACGAGATTTCACCGTCAACACTGATCAAGGAATTATTTTGTTGATTTACAGAGTGTTGAGTAAATGAGGAATAATCGGTTTTAAAT